CTGTCAACATTGATCAGGTTAGCACAACCATTATGGTCAATCTGTGAGGCTAATCTGGATAAAAGGTCTTTAGGATCTCCACTGAAAAACAGGTATAACAAGAAATTATCATTGTATTGCAAGCAATACAAAAGTCTTCTACCAGGTTAGAACCCAAGCAACATTCAAAAGGGCAATGTCCCTTCAATTATTACATTGTCCAGGAAGACATGAATTAACTTAAATTTTTTGAGTTCTAAGTTTGTATCATAGTAATTTGTTAAGTTTCCCTGTCCAGTAAGAAAATTATGTTCATACATCAAATAATCAAAAGATCCAATTTTCTCAGAATGGATATGTATAACTTATATCTTTCAATTTTTCTCTATTTTAAGTAAAATTTTTGGAAAAGTTCCAAGTTCTTTAAAAGTGATCCCAGGAAACAGTTTTTTAGGGACAGGTAGATGGACTGACATATCCCTGGTTGTTACCAGAATATAACATTTTTAAAACCAAAATTCTTAAACTAAAGAAGACAAAACTTTTGAAATAACGATCCTAGACTTATGAACATTGTCATACATGATGTGAGTGGTGGCAAAGAACAATTATTTCAAGTTTTTAAGTATTTAACATTTATAGTAACAAAGGAGAAAATTAATGTGAAAACAATTTTCAAAAAAACAATTAATATAGTAACAAAGAAGAAAATTAAAACAATATAACGATTTTCAAATCATTATAGGTGCAACATGTAAAATAATCATGGAAACCCAGATGCTAGACAAATAAATCTAAGGTACAGTGTTTTTATTTATCTTGTGCGCATGAGATACTATGTTGTGGCCACAACCCGTACGAAAACTTCCGCCCTGAAAAAGGCAGAAATTCCGCCTATCTACTAGGCTTAATCCGCCTAAGGCATTTCAGGTTTAAAGTGCCCAAAGTATGAGTTACTAGATAGACATATTTACTAAATAAGCCTATGTAAACAAAGTGACCCCAACGTTGGAACATTTTTAACCCGGTATGTAACTTTTGAAGAATACCACAAGATAATACTGCATGCAGAATATCTAATCTATACTCTGAGCATTGTATTTAATAAATATTAATCATGTTGCTTATGGCAATTATTGGTATGTATTTATAACTGAGACAAACATTACTGATTACTTGTTATAAAAAGGGTAGGAGTTTACAATGGGTGAATCTTCACCTCAACAAATTGCCCTAGATGCTAGAACAGTTAATGGCAACAGATATGGTTTGGATAAAAATATCAACTCACATGTCATCCAAACTGGCCTCGATTGCTGCTGTTAAATCATCATCACCTGAATCTGAGAGAGCTATACATTCATCTCTACTTGGACCAGAAGTCTGAAGAAGATAACAAGAGTGTCATGATCACTAACCCAATTACAATGGCTCTACATAACATATAACAAATAATAGTAATACTATAAATGAAAATGAGATATAATATCAAAATCAAGATTAACTTATATCAAAGTAAAAGAAAAACAATGGTTGCTATGGAAGTCACTGGTTGTTTTGGATAAAAGAAATACAGTGGTTGCTATGGCAGTCACTGGTTGCTGTGGAAAGTCCAAGGTTGCTATTGACATTATACTAGTTGCTAAGGAAAGTCAATGGTTGCTGTGGAAGTCACTATTAGTTAAAAGAATTCAAAGGTTACTTTGGAAGTCAATGTTGCTATGGAAAGTCAAAAGTTGCTAAGTTAACACTGGTAGTTTAGGAAAGTCAGTGATTGCTTTTTAAGTCACTGTTTGTAAAGAGATACAATGACCATCACCTCCGGAATAGAGCCAATTTAAACCTTAAAGCATTAATTCGAAAAATCTTGATAGAGGTCCAATCTTGATACAGGCAGTGTTTTATGCAAAATATCTAAGCTGTAGCTTTGTAGTTTCAGCATTTTTTTTTAACTTTTATTATAAACATATAAAGAAACACCATGAGTAGCAGGACAGAGCCAACTTTAACTCCAGGTAGAACTTAGTAGAGCCTAAGAGTTCGGATAGACAATTGATTCATGACAAATTTCTAAGACTTAGCTCTAGTAGTTTTGAAGAAGATTTTTTTTAGTTTTACCTATATGTATATAGGGAAAACCTATGACCCCCTTGGGTAGGTCTATTTGTGACCCCAATGTTATAATTTGAACAACTTGGTAAAGGTCCATAAGAGAATGTTATGCAAAATATCTAAGCTCTTGGCCTTGCAGTTTTAAGAAAAAGAATTTTTAAAATCTACTAGATATGTATATAGGAAAAAACCCAAGACCCATAGAAGGAGCCAATTTTAACCCAAGGGCTTTAATTTGTCAAATGGTAGTACTCTGAGGTCCACTAGAGAATGTGATTTATCTCAACTGTAGTCTTGGTCAATATTATTTTTCAGATGCATATCATGTTTTATTGAAATAATCAAATAGAACAAAAACATTGACTTGTGCTTGCGACACTCTATTACCTATGTATAATAATTGAACTTACCTTTAACTTTAAAGACTTCCTCTTCGGGATTATCTTTTTTGGAGTAATTATATCTATATCAGGCAATGTCTCTTCTGAATTACTGCATTGATCCTTTAAATAGATAAACCAAATGTAAGTATTACTTAAACATTTTTAACAGATTAGCATCAATTATTTTATATGATCTGGATGATTCTAATAAAAAAAAAAACATACAACAAAATATTATTTTATATTTAAATCCCACTTGGATCTTGTCACACAGCATCTAGTGTTTTTTGTCTTCAATTTATTAAAATGTTTAAACCTATTTAACATTGTGGACAGTGATCCAAAATAGAGGTTCTCTTCAAATCAAGATCAATATTTTTGAAGTTACCCTAAGTTAAATAGTTTTTCAGTTATTGACCACAAAAAAAAAGATTTCAAAGCCATGTATATGTGAAATTGACATCTGACCTTGACATTATTCTCACATTGGACCAACACTAGGTTTTAATTAGATCATTGTTACAAACTTTGCTTAAAATCCACCCAATTATTTTTGTGAATATACAATTACAATGTGTTTATAAATAAAATGTCACTGTGATCTTGTGACCTCATCCTCACTTGAGACCAACTAAGGCCAGTTTTTATTTAATGTATAGATAATGTAAATGACTTGCGCAAAATAATAATAAGTATATGTCATATACCAAGGATGAACTTCTCGGACTTGGAAGTCGGAATTGCACAGTTGGTGTTCCAGATGATACAAAGTCTTCTGAAGTATTATTTGTACTGTTGAAGAAGGTGCACATGTCACTGTATCAGTCACGGTTTCAAGGGATGTTTTTGAGATCTAATAATGATAAAATAATTAAAATACTACTCATGAAAATATTTGATGAAGATACTGCATTTGACACAACTTAGCTACAGAGTTATAGATATTGACCATATTATTAATTAATGAAATATATCTAATTTTTAACATCTAATTTCAATCTTTACAGCAGCATGCCTCCAGATTTATATCAATTTTCATGAACAAAAATAGTAATTTGCATATTTCAATCAGCACTTACAATCCAAGAAAATTACAAAAAAGTGGTAATCATATGCAAAAAAGAAAGCCCTTACTGCGTTAGTAATGCATTAGAAATAGGGAGATAAAATAATGCAAAATCAGTCTTAAACCGCACATTGCATGTAAAATATAACTGATGGATCTGGAATTTTTCTACCTTTCTTAAAATTTTAGTACATTTTTCTCAATAGTGATTTTCATGAAATACTTTTGCTCATTTACAAGCATACAGCTTTAATATTGAGTAAAACGTAACTTTTGTTTCCTTTTTTTATAAAAACTTAAAATAATAATATAATATTTAATTTATAATAATAATCTATAATAAATTAAAAAACTTGCTGTGACAAGAAACATTATAACAAGAATAAACAGACAAATCTTAATAACAAATGGTTAAAATGAATATGTTTAGTGAAAGAATTATCACTGTCAACATCATTATAATAAAATAAGGTAAATGTATTAAAATATTCTAAAATTTTACCTATTAAACGGTATTAACCTTACTATCGTTATTCATACAGTATAAAGAATATGACCCAGAAAAAACAAGATTGTGTCAAATATACAATTGTTTAGATAAAAATGGATAATAATCTGAAGGCCTAGATCAAAGAAAAAAGAAAACATTGACAAAAAGTAAGAGTATGACACTACAAAAAAGTATGAAGTAACAAAAACCTACAGCTATATTTTACCAGTTAAAATAGGTTCAATGTCAAGGTTATGACACTTTAAGCTATAATATATGTTACTCATTAAGCTTGAAAATTTCATTTTAATTGAAATGAAGGGAGGTAATTCATGATCAAACCTTATTCATATTTCTCTACATTAATTGTTCGAAATGAAATTTCAAAATAAGCTCTTTCTGTGGTCCATTTCAGTCAGAACTTTTGAAATACAATTTAAACTGACTAAGTCATCATGGAATTTAAAAGATCTGTTGTTTTATCATAAAGATTTTGTGCCATTTTGTATCAAATAAAATTCAGAAAATCAGAAAGTAAAGCAATACATTGTCTAGAATATATCATATAATACCTTTTTCATTGGCTTTGAAATATGTAATTAATGAAATTTAGCATTACCATTTTTGCATATAATTGATATCCAAGCAAATGTAACTTCAAGATCAAAATTTAAAGCAAACCAGGAATCAAATTTTAACAAAAGTTTCCCATGTTAGCTATGTATTTACTGATCTTACGAACAGAAAATACAAAAATCAATGTAATTTAATTATGATTACCCTATCATGTTTCACACTGTTATGATTTATTTTAACTGAGTGAAGATGATTGAACACCCATTTAATATGTGCTCTGAATATTTGTTTATTTAACCACAAATAATATATATTTTTAATATGACATTAAAATATTTATATACCAATTCACCGCTTCAGGAAAATGGTGTCCCAAATTTTTTTTTAAAGAAGTTCAATCTCTATAAGTAAATGTTTACCTCTGTTCTTTCAGTTTTCTTGTATGAAGTGTATACTGGGATCCTACATATTACCGGACAAAATATGATGTTTTTTCGCTGTTACTTTTAGTTAAAATAATAAAAAAGAATGAAATTTTACCCAAATAATTGTGAGTTCTTAATATACGTAAGCATTTCTTTATCAAACATAAAATTATACATTTAACCGTAGAAAAGTGTCTTTAAAGTAGGGCCTTAAAAGAGGGAAAAATCGTGTAAACAACTCAATTTACCGGACATTGTGTTTCAAAATTTTTTGAAGTCTTAAAACTAAGAAAGGAAACTACGACTATTGAATGGCAAAGTTAAGATGCTGGAAAAACCCAGTATGTCACTAAAATAGACACGGCAGTCATGCTTGTTAAGAAGAGGCCAATGTATGTAGGGGTGTAATTGAAATTAACACTATTAACTCAATTAACGTATTGATTCTTCATGATCCTTAAATGATCCTTAAACGTATGACACATTTTGATATTCAAATGTAATTCTGTTCTTTCTCATACAGTTTCCTTTTGGTCATCATGTAGCATGTTGCAAAAGCCATAAAGTCTATTTTTTGTACATTCCATGTAGAGTTTCCTCCCATGGGCGTAACCCGTTTCCGTATATGTTTTTTAATTTGCATTTCTTTGTAAAAGACAACAACGAGATATTGTTTAAACGAAATTTAAAATTACTTTTTATCATTAAAATATGTTACGATTGTCTCCTGAGATAACGTTGAGAAGAATTAAAAGTAAAACCTATCTAAAATAACCCATTAAGGGCCTCAATATTCGGGAATGCGCAGAACAGATTATTCCCCCGCATGACCAGGTCATGGAATAACTAGTTAACATAAGGGCATGTTAGTAAATAAAGAACTGAATCAACAAAATTAACCTGAGAGTGGTTTTGTTGTTATTTACTTTGAAATAGAAAGTGTTTGTACGATTAGGACCGGATGATTTTTTTAATCGAAGCAAAGTTAAAGCCTTATTTGACAGGAATAGATTTTGTCCGGTAAACTGATTGTCCGGTAAACATGTAGGATCCCAGTAAGTATAATCTGAGCAATTTCATTTTTGCTTCATTGTATACAGTTTCTACTTTTTTACTGTAGTCTAGAGTATCCCCTTTGAAGTCTCTAATTTCGGCCTCCATGGCAGACAAGGGTCCAAGTTTTGAATTTTCATCCGGAAAAAATGTATCAACAGCAATCGTTAGGATGTCTTTAATTGTACATATCTTCAAGACATTTAGATTCCTTGTTCCACCACCAGACCGGAATCTCACTTGTTTATAACTTTGTCCATCAGCATGTTGGTGTAGCAAGCCCATCTCTAATCTCCAGGTCGCCTTTGCAGCGTTTATATTACCCAAAGTCCTTTTCCTGCCTCTTATGGCAATGTTTTGGAATGAACTACCTAAAATGTTAAAAAGTATAGTCAATATGATTATAATTGCTAATATTACTCACATACATTTCTGTGTGCATTATGAAAACAGTTTAAACCTGGGCAATGTTTTTTTCTACTAAACACTACTAAGTCACACAGTCAATCAAAGCCTAGTAAAGTCCCTTACTTACGGTGGCACAAAGGTGACATGTGTGTGTTTTTATTTATCTCTTGGCCACGAGATACCATCTCGTGGCCATATCAGTTACTAAGTTGTGGCCACGAGATACAATGTAGCTAAGTTATGGCCACGAGATAGCTATAAGTCGTGGCCATGAGATAATTAACCAATCAGAATACACTATATTATATATTATGAATTTTTTAAACTTAACAGCTTACTTTTACATGAAACATTAATCTTTGAAAATAATAAAGATATTCACTTTGAACTTGTCATAGAGATAAATAAAAACACACACATGTCACCTTTGTGCCACCGTACAAATAGGTGACATGTATGCGTTGTTATTTATCTTTATCACGACATAGTTACTAAGTCTGCACACGAGTTACTAAGTCGTGCTTACAGATAATTAAGTGGTGAGCACAAGATACTATGTTGTGCCACAAGTTACTTAATGTTGGCACTAGAAAATTAAGAGTTACACACTCTTGATATTGTGGCTTGGGCAAGAGTTACTAAATGGTGCGCTTAAGATACCAAGTCAAGCGCACTTGTTACTTAATCATATTACACTGTATATATGATTTTTCTTAGTTAACTAGAAAAGTGCCATAGTACAATGATGCCCATGATACTTCTACAACTACCTGTCACAGAGGCATGTATTCACAAGTTACAGTTTGACACTGAAATTTGATCTTATTACCTGAAAATAACTATTGGTCATCTACTTGCTTTGAGCAATATTCCTACCAAGTATGGCTTATCTATTCTCAGTTATTGATACCATAAGAATTTTACATGATGTGTTTCTGTTGACTCAATGCCCTCTGACCTAATGGCATTAATATCAATACAGTTTTATACTGGCCACTAAGGGTCCAGAGATGCATTACTGGTACTGCAGAGATTTTGCAAGTACTGGTACTGATACTGAATTACTCTTACAAAATTTTGCTACTCACTTATACAGGTACTGCATTACTATCTTAAAAAGTGGTACTGCTACTGCATTACTAGGCAGTACTTTTGGTTTTGATAAAAATAGCATCAAAGCTGTAAATTACATTATTTTATTTTTGTGAAAAAGTTAGTTATCAATTCTATAGATAATTTGCTGCAATATTCCTTCAAATGTTAACATAGTGTTCATCCTAAAAAAGCACCAAAGACTTTAAGTAAAAATTAAATTGAGATAAACAGACTCAATAACTCTTTACCCTAAAATATCCTAATTAAAATCTTTTATTACTTTGTATTTACTAGTAAAAGAGCAAAATAATCACTGATTAATTGCTTCTATTTCTAAATAATCCTATTTCAAGTGATACTGTTAGCACCATAAAAAGTTGTTATTTACTTTGGTATAAATTGAACAGAGGTGTGAAAGTCAATAAAAGACGGTTGTGTTTAAAATGTAAACTGGTAATGGTACTGCATAATTTGCCAAGTACTGGTACTGGTACTTAAGTACTACACCCTGAGTACTTATGCAGCTCTGGCTATGTCTCTATCAAGTAACAAAACATATGGATTATTCTTTCTCAAGTTATTGTTTGGAATCGGCGTCATTGTGACCCTGATTATTGACCTATTTTGACCTTAAAATCCTTAAGAGTCATCTACTGATCAGATGCATTGTCAATACTAGATATAAACCATTGCTTATTCCTTATTTATCAGACTATGATTTTACATGAAGTGTCATGGTTACATTGTGACTAGAGTTTATCTACTGGCCGACAATGTCCCTACCAGGAAACAAAATTATTTACTTTTTTTTCAGAATTATTTAATATCAGCTAATCAACATCACAGCAGCCAAGCTTAACACAAACTTGCTAGAAAAAAACAACGGCAATAAACCTGGCTCTGAGTCTGTTGATTTCTTTGTCATTTGGACCTGGCTGGATGCAAAACCATTACTGCAATGCGATCACCGTACGCTGGTATATAATGCTTGAGTTGTTCATCAGTCATCTGCGTCAGAATATCACAATCAATCTGAAAACATATACAGTAGAATCCCTACGTAAGACCAACACAGATTTAAGACCACCCCACTATCAAGACCATTTTTAAAAGAATGGAATTTTCTGTTCCTTATGTCAATAGTTACAGACTCCAGAATTAAGAGCACCCTGGTTATCTACTTTTTTAAGACCACCACATTCGGTCCCAGTTCTTTGATTTATTCTTTATTTGAACTCACTATTGAGACCACTTATTTTAAAGTCAACATCTACCAAGATCACAGATGTGTTGTTATTATCTGCTTGAGTGCTCTTAGGCATGACACTTGATTTTACAAGGTGTCAAAAACTGTTATTATAAGATTATTGTAAAAAAATATGTGTGAAAGTAAAATTTATAGTCATGCACTGTCGGTTAATGTTGCTTTCAGCACATTTATTTTATGAAGAAGTAATTTCTTATATGATAGGTGATGTATATAAATGATACTGAAATCACACCATTTATTAAATTTCTTCTGAAAAAAATTGTTTGCTCTCATCTGATAAAATATTATAACATGTATTGTATTTGTAGGTTAAGATACAATTGTTGTTTGCTATTAATACAAAATGACTAACATAGACAATGGTCATATGTAAGCAATGATAGGCATACCCACAATTAAGACCACCTTCAATTAAGACCACTTAATTTGGTCCAGTCCCGATGATGGTCTTAATTGGGGGGTTTTACTGTATTGGTTAACTTTTTAAAGTGCCTTTTTATTTATAAGAATAAAAAGGATGCAGGTATTAATTTTGAATAGCTTGATTTACTAATGTTTTGAGATGCCCCCAAACTCTGGTGTGATTACACACAAATTTGTTTAACCATTTTACACTGGTCACTTTCAAAGTTTGATAAGATGTTATTTGAAAGAAGCATAGATATGGGGTTTGCAGACATACAGTCATAATCAACAGCATAACGTTATGTTTCTAATTATCAACAGCAGTAGAAAATAATCCATCAAGAAATATGTTCGGTGAACATGATAATGTCAAACATTGAAATAAAATTTAAAAAAAGTACCTTGTCTGCGATCATCATGTTAATTACATCTTGACCTAGTCACCACGTTCCCGCAAAAATGGTTCCATGTTTGCTAGAAAGTATAGAAGCAAATTCAACGTTTATATGTTGGTGTATTACATACAAGTTTACACAGGGGTCTAATCCAGGAGATTGCCAAACTTCAAACCTTTATCTAGATATATCCACATAAAATTTATGTAATGTCTTTTTTCCTCTGAGGTCAACTACGATACAAAGACACTTCTGATGTCAAAGTGTACCCAAGTGACGTATATTTACAATTCTTTGGGCCAATCAGATATCTGAACTGCGTGATTTTTGCAGGCAATATTTGATGACAGGTGTCAAGACCAAAAAAACTGTCTGCTTAATGAAGAAATAAAATAAAAACACCAAGTGCAAATTGATGGGGACAATTAATTCAATAACACATCATGTTATCAATGCTTACCTTGTCAGACAGATGCATTTTTAGTCGAAATTTGTAAACCCTCTATAAACCAATTTAAGTCATGGAGCCGCCAGTGTAATTACAAACTTTATTTCTATTGTCCGAAATTGTTCATGATGAGACGTCTGTCAGTTCATAACTTGTGTAAACGACGGATTATTTTAATGCTATAATTATGTTGTGAAGTTGTTTTCTTCTAAACAGTCGGTGGTTAATAACTTACTCTAATTAAGTATTTATTATGTACGTTTGGGAATAAATTTAAGCAATGCTTACCTTGTCTATGTCAATCCTAATGAAAATATCGTAAAATAAAAAAGTTTCTGCCTTCAGCCCTTTTGAATAACAATATTCATGTATGTAAGGTGTATTCTGATTGGATAACTATCTCGTGGCCACGAGTTAGCTATCTCGTGGCCACGACTTAGCTATCTCGTGGCCTCGACTTAGTATCTCGTGGCCACGACATAGTATCTCGTGGCCACGAGTTAGCTATCTCGTGGCCACGACTAAGTAACTCGTGGCCACGACATAGTATCTCGTGGCCACGAGTTAGCTTTCTCGTGGCCAAGACTTAGTAACTCGTGGCCACGACATAGTATCTCGTGGCCACGAGTTAGCTATCTCGTGGACACGACTTAGTAACTCGTGGCCACGATATAGTATCTCGTGGCCACGAGATAAATAAAAACGCACACATGTCACCTTTGTGCCACCGTACCAGTGTGCACAAGTGTGCGGGTGTCTTAATATTAACCTTTATCATTCAGTATAAGAGATCATAAATCAGTAAAGATGCTGCTAGATTTATATTTTTTTTATAATCAGATCTGTTATATCTCAGTAAATATGTGTTATGCCTTTGTTATTGTCGGTATATAGCTTATTAGCTAACGTTTCTTGTAATATGTAATAAAGTTTCTTGTATCTTGTAAAGAAAATAAATACCGATTTAACATGTAAAGTAAGAATTTAATGTTAAAACTTTGTACCAACTTCTACTGGGCCTACTTAATTCTAGAGTAATGGCTGGCAATCATTTACTTCACATAATGGGCATGCATGTAAGAAAAATGATACAATTAAGTGTGCCCGAGACGACCGTGGTGTAGCAAAGGGAACATAAATAATTATATTAAGAAAGTGACTTTTAAGTATTTTCAATTTATTTTAATTTCTGCATATCGTTTGTGTTTAGATTACTTTTTAATAAACCGATTCCACCTATTTTTTGTAAATCTATCTTTATTATTTCTTTCTACAATCCATGGTTATTTTTTGATCCTACTTGATTTAATCGAGTTAATGAAAATTAGCAAGTCTATCATATTTAATCCTCCATATTGTCTTTGAATATTTTATCCCTTTTCACTTTTTCTCTTTTTGAGTACCATATAAATTAAAAACAGTATTGTTTTCTTGGACGCGTAAGAACGGATATTATAAAGGTAAGTTTTGAAATAATTTAGGACTTTATGACGGATATTTTGCCATTTGATGTCAAATTACATTTGACATCAAATGGCAATATATCCGGGCAATATATCTGTCACAAACATTATGTCTTGTTCTACAACTATTTATGTTTGCTTTTAATTGTTTTAATTTATATTCGTAATTTAGTTTTGTTATTTAGTCACAATTTGAATGAAATGTTATGCTTCAGTAATGTTTTTGCACATTCGGGTGTCCAAATTATATTTATATATTTTTTCTACAGTAGAAATCTAAGTGAGCATATTCTAAGAACTGTACATTTCTTGTACCAGAAATAAGGGAAATACACATATGTAACAGGGTCTCACTTTTTAAGTTTTGGTGTAAGGGACAAAACTCTCTTGCTCACTGCTAAATTGAATAATTTTGCAAAGGGAGACAAATCCGCCGATCTTGTATGATACTTTTTAAGGGAGATTACTATATTGGTTTTGTAACAATGGAAAAACTATATGTATATTATAAATGCCAATTCTAGCTAGGCAATTGCCAGTTAAGGAAGAGTCTAATATTCAATTAATTGGTAAATTAATTATATCTGATTACATGTTTTTATCAGCTCGGTTTCAGGTAAAAAAGCAAAGAAAAACTTTCTACAAAAGAAATATTAAAAGTTTTTTCTGTGGTACAGTATATAGTATTTTGACGATACGATAAAACTAACAATTCGTACATGTACTATCGGTGTTAAGCTAGACACGACCTTGCTAATTACAACATCTCACAATGATATATAACAAAATGTGTCAGTTTGGGTATGAATCACTTTTAGTGATAGTTCTTCAGTCGGCGAATCCAGTATGTCTCGCGTGATTTCCGTGTTATATCTGACCACTTTGTGTTATGTTCAATACAACAGAGGGACACGTCTTTAAAACTGTGTCCCTCAAGGTGAAAATGTTCGGCAACTGGGGATCTGTTAAATTTTCGCGTTTTCCAGACAGAGCGGTGTAAGTTCATTCGTTTATTTAATGGAAGTTTGGTTTCACCGACATATCGTTTGTTACACACTTTGCAAGAAATAAGATAAATAACGTAAGCCGTTTTACAATTCATTATGTCTTTGAGAGATGTTTTGGCCCCTATTTTTGAAGAGAATGTTTTTGTAAGGAGCATGCCAGCACAGGTTTGGCATCTTGGTGTGCCACATGGTCCGGACTGACCTTCTTTATCTGTCATTATTGGTCTCAGTTGGGCTCGAACAAGTATATCCCTGAGCCTTTTAGGTCTCCTATATGTAATGGTTGGTTAAGTTGGGAACATCTTGTTAAGTTTCTGTGAAGACTCAATAATTGGCCAATGTTTGTCAATAATGGCTCTAGTGTTAGGTAAGTCTGGGTGATATGTGAGCACAAATTTGCTCTGATATAGAACGTGCTGGGAATCTGTTCAAATCCCAGCACGTTCTATATCAGAGCAAAAGAACTGTCTGAACATCTTAGAAAGCGAGGATACAAGGAACAAGACATTGCAAACGCGATCTTAAATGCAGACAGCAAGAACAGGAAGGACTTACTAGAGTACAAACATCAATCTAGTGGTTCTACACAAAATAAAATTCCATTTGTGCTCACATATCACCCAGACTTACACAATGTCCATTCAATAACGGTCTATTCATAATCGTTGTATTTTTATCAGCTTTCTAGCGACTGTGTTTCAGTTCAATTTTTGATACTATACAGTACACACGTATTGAGTGTGTGCACATTATACATGTAATACAACCCTGATGAAGGCATAATTCGCCGAAAGTACTTGGGTATTTATACTTTAGCACTGTATGAACGTTTATTTTCTCCAAATTTATTGTTTTTTTCCACGTTCTTGTATCCTTCTTTGGATCCAGTGTTTTTGAAAGGTATTTTGTAGATGCAAATATTTTTCACAAACCTATATATATTATATATATATATATATATATATATATATATATATATATATATATATATATATATATATATATATATATATATATATATATATATATATATATATATATATATATATATATATATATATATATATATATATTCTTTTTACATGTTCATGCATGGATTGTTATCAATTTTGATTTCTTTTTTTTCCCCATTTCAAGACTTTCAGCTTGAATTTTTATTTGTCAAAGCAGAAAATTTAGCCGTTGATGCATCGAATTGCAGCCACAGTTTATCCCTGCGGTATCGTATAAGGTGACTAAATGAGTTTGATTTATTTGAGTCTATGTATCTCTAAGCTCCAGCAAATGAGGTGGTTTTGACCTCTGGTGTTTTTTATGTTTGTTACTCCCGAGATCAGTCAAAACAACAACAAGAAAAGCAAAACAAAGCAAACAAACAATAACAGTCAGTTATATTGTAATATTCAGTTAAGCATCAATAAACAACAACATTCAGACTAGAAAGGCTTAACAGTAAGCCCACACAGTGTATACGAGAATGACTAGTCGGTAATAGATTATATAACCATTAACATTATGGTTTTGTCATGTCAGCAAACTTGTAACAAAATTACGTCATGATGCATCATGCAATGACTTGCAATTAATTGTTGCCAAGGACAGACGCTACATGATATAAATGGACGATAAATTCACATTTTCAGCAAAATAAATCATATACAATGTTTGCTGGGGAAGAACCATAGCAAATAGATATTTCTTTGACACACACGTGCAATGATAAAAGTGATTTGAAGTTTGTCTTACGACAAGTAAAGTCAACGAACTTGTGTGGGTAGAAAACATAGTATGAAGACATAAAACGAATGGAAAAAGCATTTCAATCCAAAGTCCTAAAGGAAAAAGAAGCATGCATTTTGCTACAGTTCGTTTAACAAAAAAATAGTGCCAGTTTATACAAGTACACCATACCACATTGAATAGCAATTAATAACATGAAAGCATTGAGCAATTTTTACTCAGATGGAATTTAAAACATGTTTTACAATTCATACTGGTATGAGAAAAAGTAATACGTATAATTCATTGTTCGAATTCCACAGTATTCTGTCTTCTAGAATCTATACATTGACAGTATAAGCTTAAAGAGTGGCACAAAACATATTAAGTCCTTTCTTATATATATATGTACATCATTTTTTTCAAAGATGGTATAAAATATGAAAAAAGACTACCATAATCATTTTTTAGTTTGGAATAGTTTTCATGTGCTTTT